GCCGCCACAGTCCGCGCCTGGCGATCTGCCAGAGACACTTGCCATTTTGGAGATGCTCGGCAGGAAGTCCCGCCAACTCACCCCTCGCTGTTGGTGCCCTGGTGAGAAAGGCGGGTGTACTGTACCGAAGGGTACTGTACCGAAGGGTACATTCAAGCTCGAGTTTGGTCGGTAACCGACGCATATCCACCTATTAAAGCGCAAAGGGACCAACTCGCGCCTTGGTAGGTGAGTATCTCACTCCTTCCTTTGCCACCCTAATTTCTCTTCAATTGTTCCCCTATCATACCTCTCTCCCCCCCACAATTGATGGTCTCGAATTTCCCATATTGTGGTGGGTCTTAGGTGGAGAGGTACAATGCCACGGAGAAAACACGGAGACAAGACGTCATCCGCGTGGAAGGTGGTGTTCTCTACGTGTCCATGACGCAGAGGTGTGGGGTAAGCTGCTGTTTACAGCAAACCGAAATGGAAGGCCAGCTGCGGGAAGACTTGCTTTGTACTCGACATAATGCGAGAACCGCTGTGCGACACAGGGCACCTCACAATCGTGCCTGCGGTAAGACGGTAAGGTACCCTTCGAGTGGACTGTGGAAGGGTAAAGTCTTCAAATTCAACTGCCTGGAGTACAGTACCCAACGGTAAGTACGTGTACAGTGCTCTTTTTTAATTAATTAGTAAAGTTAGTCATATGAATGACAGTCCTGTTATACCGTATAATACAGTACAGGGGGGGGTCGCTCAATAGTGCCTACTTTAGTAGTGCTTCCCTCTATATAGTGCTATGGCTCACCCTCTGGCACAAGCTATCATACGCTCACACGTGTATCATCCGGCATGGTTCAGTACTCAAAGGATGAAGTTATTTAGTTGTGTTACACAGGCTTTGTTGTGTTTGTGTTAGCAGTGTGCTTTGTCCCCAAATATATGTATTTGAGCCTCCTTTCTATAGTGCCATCCCCCCAATAGTGCCATAGCTAGAGGTATGTCACGCTATAGCACTATATCGTAGGAGGCACTGTACCTGTATGTGTAATGATAGTTGTACAGTACAGTACCCTTGGTACTGTACTGTACAAGTGTTCAGTATACTCCACAAGTACCCTTGGTACTGTACTGTACAAGTGTTCAGTATACTCTACAGACCACCATTCCACATCCTCAACAATCCCGTGTCTCGTAACTTATATAACACCGTGTATAGTACCCAACGGTACCCTTGGTACTGTACGTATTGCATATTACGCTACCTGCTCTCCCTTCCCACCTCAACATACTGCATAACATTATCTGGATACACCATGCCCTCTTATATACTGGTTCATCACATCATGTGCCCGTGTACTTGATGTTTACACTAATCGAAATGCATTAACTTGTTTAAAGGCACTAATCGGGTTGTTGGAAAGGACATTCTGCTGTGCCGTCCACGCCTGGCCTGCATGCACACTTATGCACACCCAACCAACAAACGTGCTTCTGCTCATCCACCAAATCCACTACAACACACTTTTGCACACCTCTTTAGCAATCGCAGATCGTGTCGCACCCCGCGCAAAACTCACCATTGGTCCTTCCAATACCGTACCATACAAACCGTCTCGTTCCCACAACGCCACCGTCATGTATAATGTTAGCAACCGAAATTCATTCCCGAACACCCGCACTCGCACTCTCGGTGCGGGTAACTGTTGTCGGCTACAGTGCGTGCATTCAGGAAACAAAAATCCCCCACTTTGCCACTTTTGGCCCTCTCCGCCGCGTATGCCGTTCTTTTGAAATCGTACAATCAATGGCTGCCACTTGTAAAGTATTTATCGGTTGATCTATTGGTGAACCAGTACACCTGATCACAGCAATTAACCTTGGTCTATATATTTATATATATATATATATAATATTAACCTGGGTTCAGAAATAAACTGGACCAGGTTATTATTGGTTTTGACCTGGAGGAAACAGTCTTACAGTATGATAAGTCGCCTTTAGAGTTCAAAAAGGGCGAGAACGCCTGTCGCCGCCTCGATATGGTCTTTGGGAGGAGAAGCAGCTCTTTTCTGAGCTGCAGACAATAATATCCAAGCATCGTGTCCATTTCAATGGGCAAGAAGTAGAGCCGTAATTTCTTGAAAACTTGTCAGCAATGTTAGAAATCAAGGTTAATCCAGTGGTTCACAAATAAACTGGACCACGTTATATCTGATTTGACCATATATTAATCTGGGTGCACAATTAATCCGGACCATGTTAAATATGGTTATAGACCTGAAAAAGGGGCCTCAGAATTAAGTTGGCCCAGGTTAATTGCTGTGATCAGTGTACACCAGCCTGGTCTAATAATAAAGAGCTGAAACAAACCCCACCGCTAATGTTAATCTGCACGCATGGAACCAACGAAGGAAATGGATGTGATAAATCAGGCTTGCGATTCTCGAAATGGGAATCTGAAATTCAGGGTTGATATCGCATACATGGCATATGCGCCAAATACAGTATCCTGCCAGCGGCCATCGTTTTTGCTTTATCGAGAGGCACCTAGCTGGAGCATTAGGAATGAAGTAGCTCTGCATTAGCGATATAAGTAGATACGTTTGCGGATAGATATCAATAGAACCGACAACGAACAAAAGAACAGAACAACACAGTGCTTTAATTGCACAACCAAAATCCTAGTGCAACTAGTCCGGCATAGTCGAAGGCTCGAGAGGGCGTCAAGCATTGACAACCGAGCAGTGAGGAGACTGTTGAACTACGCGGCGTTATAGTTCGCGTTTCAATCTTAGAACCTCGCGCACGGAATCAGCCTATCTAACTCGGCACCCCTGTCCCCGGGCAACGGTGACTTGTTGCATCCGCTGCCCTTCGGTAGTCTACCTTCCTGCTGTACGCGGTCCGATTGTGGACAAACCGGAGAGACCAACTCCTCCCGACAGTTCCCGTCGTACACGGCACGCGCTCTCGGAAGGGTCGGCTTTTCAAGATCTGACTCGACATTGAAGTCAGACATATATTTACTTCGGTAAATATTCTACCAACGCAGAGAACAAATTGTTACGGTTTTGACAGTTATAACTGTCCCTTGAAGCTGCAGCAACAAAACGGACAAGTATAGCTCTGCAAAAACAAATTGACAGGTGGTTGTGATAGCCGTCAGGGGAGGGAGTGCTGCTGCCGTCGGGGGAGGTAGATGTGGCCGCCGTCAGGGGAGGGGTGTGTCGCGGCCGTCGGGGGAGGTGGGCATGGTCGTTGTGAGGGAAGGTGGATGTCGCCGCCGTCAGGGGAAGTGGGTGTATTCGTCGTCAGGGCAGATGGATGTGGACGTGGTCAGGGGAGGGGGATGTCGCCGCCGTCGAGGGAGGTGGATATGGGCGACGTCAGGGAGCAGGTGGGTGTGGGCGCCGTCACGGGGATGGTTGGGGTGTTCGCCATCAGGGGTGGCGAATGGGCCCGTCGATCGGGGCAAGTTTGGAGGTAGCAGTCATGGGAGGTGAGTGCGATTACGTGGAGATATGCAGAGATGGATGGCATTGTAGTGGGCTGCTCCTGAAATCATAAAATGCATATGCACCCTTTTACAGAAAAATTGTGCAAAAAGGTGATTGTGTACTGTACTAGCGTCCTGAAAAGTTTTGTGTCAAACCTCACCGCACTTTCTACACTATCCCGTTGTGTACCCGTAGGGTACTCCATTGGCAGTCCCATGAGCCCGAATCTAACTGTTCAGTGTAGGACGACCGCGAATTCCCAGAACCACCCTCGTCAAATCGCAACGTTTCCCCTTTCCGTCCTCATCGCGTACCCTAGCCACAGTATGCCTTCGCTTATGCTGCAAATCATTATTCTGTATCATCTCATTCTCGATGGACAGCCTCATACCTTCAGAGCCCGTCTAAATGCGAAAAGTAAAC